TTTTTTAACTTGATTTTTGTGTTTTACCTGCGATCTTTTCTTCTATCTCTATCCCTACCTTTAGAACCATACCTATCATCTCTATATGCTCCGGGACTTCTTGAGCGACTACGACCACGACGTCTATAGTCGCGATCATAACCACTTGTCCCACTATACCCACCATTTCTCCCACTACTACTATGTCTACTACCACTACCACTACTACTATACCCATAACTTGATCCATATCCACCTGCACTTCCACGTGAATAACCTCTATAATCCCTGTCGTAACTTGTTGGTGGAGGATGACTTGTATGAATATAAGAACCTTCTCTGCCTGAGTATTTTTGATTTTGATCAGGGCCCCCAATCCTAGTTCCTCCTAAACCACCACCTTGTCACATATTATAGATTTATATATTTGAATTTTTCGTAAAAAAATATATATAAAATAGAAATTAATTAATAAAAGATGTAGAAAGGATAAGAATTATTACCAAGACGACGTGGTCTCCAACCCTTAACTGTTCTACCACGTTCTACATCAACTAAAATTCGACGACCCAAAAGTTTAACGCCATCAGCACCTTTGTACGCAGCTGTTATTAAAGAATGAATTTAAGTATGCAAGTAATGTATATATATATATAAGTACAAATATATATTTTTGGCTCTCTGCCTTCTTTACCTTTCATATCTTTTTCTCTTTCAAATTCAATAAAAGCATAGCCTCGAGGTTTTCCGGTGAGTTTGTTTTTTATAATTCTTATCTAAAGCAGATTAATTAATAATTTTCATATTGATTAGTAAGGTGAAATTTTTTGGAAAGATCAATCATATAACTAACATTTTCTATTGGACCATAAATTTCAAATTCTCTTCGTAAATCCTTTTCCGTTATTTCATAATTCTAAATTTTTTTTAAAAAAATTTGGTTATGAATTTATCATTTTAATAATAGAAATTTCATTAATATTGTGTTTTCATACCATTCTTGCAACAAATAATGTTTTAAATGGATCCCCGGTAACATTCTCATCTTTATTAGGGTCCCCTAATAATTTATTTATACGTAAATCTTCTGAATTATTACTTTTCTGCTGTTAAATAAATAGAATACATACACGCTTCAAGTCCCTTTTTGATCGCTTCTTCTGCTTTTTGTTTTTTCTCTAATATCTTCAGTTATGTAAAT